CTGTTTGCAGCGTAACTTACATGGATATTACATGGATATTAAATTGTTATTATTGGTTTTATACAGCTTGTCCAACATCATGTGCTGCCTGGAAGAGTCTGACTATGGCAGTAAAGTTGAGGAACTGAGAAATACGTGGGGGCACTACACGAACTGCATGGACTATATGGATAACTTCTGGTTATGCTCACCTAAGGTATATGAAAAAATATGCAATGTACTGACTACAAACATAAATTGGGTAAAATGATACAAAGTGTTTGCAGTGAGTTATGTGAATGGTACATGGATTTACATAATCACATACTGCATGCAAAATAGGACTTTTATCCAGAATGTGTGCATGTGTAAACATGAGCATATTTGAATACGTCATTAGTGAGTGAGTGAGTGAGTGAGTAAGTGAGTTTAGTTTTACTCTGCACTCAGCAATATTCCAGCTATGTTGACAGTCGGTAAATAATTGAGTCAACACCAGTTCTTACAAAATGTTTCTAAGTTTGTGGTGAAGTGTTTCAGTGAACAGTAAGGTGCTAATGTTATTTTCTATATCAATGTCTTTGTATAATAACAGTTAAATTCGTTTGTACGCAAATATTTAACATACACATATGAAACTTGCTTGTATGTGATACTATATATGATATTACAATTCCAGCCATGGGCCATTGCCTTCAGACCTTTTGATCAACATGTGGGACTAACAACAAACAATGGCGTTGAGAGGCTGCATTCCCTGTTTAAAAGTGAGCAGAAGCATTCTACGGACATGAGCATAACAGGGCTGATTGGACTTCTAATAAAACACCACAAGAGCAGGCAACAGAGGTAAATCAGATTTTTTATTTAATTTGGTAATGGTTAACTGTAGGTTCTAAAAATATGGTGTGTCAATATTATGTGTGCATCCATGTAAGCCTACACTGAAAATACATGTTTCATTCTTTCTGCACTGCTATATGCTAGTTCATATTAACAGTGGGCTAAAAGAAAGTATTACAGAATATTACTTGATGCAATGATTCACTGTAACCTTTGGAAAATGAATATATACTGGCTACATAAAGAAACTGTGCACACAGAAAATATAAAGATAGGCAGACAGCGTCTTTATGCATAAATGAAGGTGTGAACATAGCAAGTATTGGAGACAATCAAACGCTCATGCAGGTGCCAGGCGACGTGACGTCATTGATGGTGGCCTATGGACGTGCAATGTGTTACTGTACGTGCAGCCTGTGCAGCTGCACACAACATGTGAAACTCAGAAATTGATGTCACTGTCGAAACCTTGATCTTTGGTCATTCAAACGTTCACAAATTCACATGAAAAGTCACATGCGCATCATGCCAAGATTAAATGTGCTCAGCGTCATGAAGCCATTGGAATGGTTCGAGCAGGCATGAGCCAACAACTGGTGGCAGCACATTTCCAATGCCATCGTAACACGATATCTGCATTGGCCAGGCGTTAGGGAAACAGTAATGACGTCGCCGACCACCAACGACGCCAAGACAGGACATATGGATTTGGGTGACTCATATCAGACACAGGCTCCAGACGGCAGTGACCATGTCCCAAACCATTCCCCAGGCCTTCATTTGGAAAATTTGGTAGCCTCTATGCGTCGTCGATGCACTGCTGTGATTCACGCGCATGATGGTCATACCCGTTATTGACTTTGTGACTTCGACGTGTGACCCCCGACTCAATTTTGAACTTCTGACGTCATCGTTACGGATATTGTTCATGTTCTTTTGACATGTTGTTGAGGCCCGATACTTCAGCTTATAAAGTGTCTACATCATGTCGTCTTTTCTGTGTTGTATTCCAATTCTGAAGGAATTTTCTGTGTGCACAGTTTCTTTATGTGGCTAGTATATATGTGGCCAATTGTGAAATGCTTTTGTTTTGAGAATGTAAACAGATGACAAATATAAATAGAAACTATTAAGTTCTCACAAAAAGATAAGAGTAATGAGGATACAGTTGTGGTTGAAAATATGAATTTATCATGTATTCCAAAAAGGTAACCCACTGCAATATATGCAAGTGTGTTACAGCAAATGTAAAATGAAATGTCTGTATATCATACTAATGACAAGAGTCATTACCCTTTTGACAGTGAATTGCCACATTTTGTATATACTACTTTGCATGATGCCTTTAATGCCAATACTATTCTCTGGAGCAAACTATATACTAGACACATGTGCATGGTGTAAATACACTCAATTATGTTATTAAAATACAAGCAAGTATTTACTATATGCACTACTGACACAATTTAGTAAAATGTAAAACAGGTTACTGTTAGTTACTGTTAACTATATACAACACTGATATATATTCTGGAAACAAACAATGTGATTGCAGTTACTACGAAAAGAACGACAGAATGAAGGTGGCACTGAAGGATTCTGTCCCAGGGTTTTTGACTGGGAGGGGGCGGACATGCTTTGAACACTGCAGAAGGAAACTGAATGAGGTGATGCAAACAGAATATATCCACAAAGGTGAATTAAATTACCTAGTGAACAATTACAATGTTGTTTTAAATAGGGGTACCAAAGATCTCTGTTCTTGCCAAGACTATAGAAGACATTTTTTTCCATGTAAGCATATTCTGGCCACATTATATCACAACAACCTACCCTGGGAAGCGTTACCCAAGCAATACAGGGACACTCCAATGTTACATGTCAGCAAGGATTGTAGGACCTCACTGCCAACAGGTATTAATGTCAAGTTTCCAAAAGTCTCTTCAGAAGATTTTCTATCACTTAGCCACATGAGTGGTGCAGAGTGCAGTGGCACATCACTGAAGGCTCATACAGATGATATTGACACTGCCCAAGGGAAACAAACAAGTGTGAGGTTGCTGTGTGAGCTGAGGGATCTGCTGACAAGGTGCAACTGCGAGAAAACAGTGAAAGAGGCCAACCAGACCCTAGAAATGATAAAGAAAACTGTTCAAAACAGAAACTGTTTTAGGAAAAGGAGAAAACACAGGCAGATGCCAAGAGCAGCTTTAAATTTCCTGAAGTCCAAACTACACAAAAAGTATTTGCTGAACAAGAAGAAACATACAATGCGTAAGTAATATGAAAATACTGAATGATTATTCAAATATCAGAAAAGTAATATAAAAGAGTTAAACAGTTAAAAAACGTCGTGGTACACTTATTTAAAGTGGATGGCTATCATAAATATAACACCCTACTTTACAACTATTTTCTTTGAATATTTTGGTGCATTAAATATCCAACCAAAAAACATCCTTGACTGTGTTCACAACTAGCATCATCAATGTACATCGTGTACATTGCGAGCGACGAAAAGCATGTGCATCAAACCATGTGTTTTATTGTTTGTTTTCATTTTCCATGTGGAATCACTTTGTTCTGACGTTGTTATGACTCTTGTCATACAAAAGATCTTTTTACCCCAAAATGGATAGATTAACGATATTCTCTTCAAACTGCCAAGGACTGAATAATGATAAAAAGAGACTTGATGCTTTTGAAAATTTGAAGAAAAGAAGGGGAAATATCTATTGTATTCAGGACACTCATTTTATGAAGGACACAGAGCAAAAAGTTGAAAATGAATTGAGAGCAGATGTTTGTTGTACTTTTTCTATTCAGTGACGATCAAGAGGCGTGCCAAAACAGAAAGAAAAGAGGTGTGGATATGTTTTTGATAACAATTTTGACTTTCAAGTTATAGAGGAGATTAATGATACAGAAAATGGTAACTTCATCATTCTTAAGATCAAAATATTTTAAGAACAGTTTAGTATGACTGATGTCTATGCACCAAATACAGACACTCCAGGGTTTTATAAAAATATTAAGAGACTATATTGTATAAACTAAATTCAGAAACAAATATAATTTGTGGAGATTTTAACCAAGCACTCGATACCTATAACTATAAACACATAAACAATCCAAAAGCATGAGAGTTTTTTCTTGAAATGTCAGATGAAACTAAACCTTTATGACCCGTGGAGAGAAGCTAACTTAAAGAAGAAAAGGTATACTTGGAGAAAATCAAAACTTATCAAACAAACCAGATAAGACTACTTCCTAGTTAGTAGAAATCTAGAAAAATCAATTATTGTCGCTGACATAGTCTCAGGTTACAGATCAGACCATTCAATGATTACCATGGAAATGGAATATTCAAAATTGGAAAGGGGAATAGGTTCAAGTTCAACAACAGTTTACTGTACGACCCAGAGTATTCAAAGAAATCAAAACAATAATTCAAGAAACATTTGATCAAGATAGCATATTAAACACAGATGTGGGGAAAAGATTTAACAATCAGCGATCAACCATTCTATGAGGTGTTACTTTGTATTATTCGAGGCTTCACGACAAAATACTGAAATAGATTAAATAGAGAGAACGAAATAAATGAAAAAACTTGAAACGCTAGAAACTAAACTGGACGAAACAAACGAGCATCAAGATAAACATATGATCATAAAAAAAATAGGTAAATTGAAATTTAGAAATTTTCAACTTTGGACCTTCAATTACAAAATGGATAAAAACTTTCTATAACAATATCAAATCAAGTGTTCTTGTTAACGGTTTCTCCTCAGACTTCTTTAACTTAACAAGAGCATGTAGACAGGGTGATCGCCTAAATTATTGTGCAGAAATTCTAGCTAAAATGTTAAGGGAAAATAGAAATGTCAAAAGGCATTAAACTTGTTGATATGGACTGACTGAGTATGGTTTTACGCCGTTTTTAGCAATATTCCAGCAAAATCATGGCGAGGGACACCAGAAATGGGCTTCACATATTGTACCCATGTGGGGAATCGAACCCGTGCCTTGTACCTTTCAAAAAGAAATAAAGTGATAGAAAATATAAAAGACTTTATGCCTATGCACTATTTCTCAAAGCGCATTAATGATTATAAGAAGTATGTATTGCTTCTAGAAGTTAAATGTACAAATAATACACTTTTACAATTTTACTTGCAGAGAGGGCTAAAAGGCGTTCAAGTATTTCTAGAAAAGCTGTCAATAAGGTAACCCTTTAGAAGAATAAGCAGTTTTTTTAAAAAAACACGCACAATAAAGAGAAACAGAAGGAATATTCTGTTTCAGCTGATTATAATAAGCTTTCTGCTTTCTGTTACTAAACCGGCTAGCTATTCTCAAAATGTCTAGTAGACCTACAAACTTCTTAAGCCCACTCTTAACACGTTGGCTACGATCAAAGTTAAGATTTCATAGGGCTACGAACATTTGGAGAATAGGGCCTCTGATCCTTTAATGTTACTTTAGAATTATGGTGATCACTGACCACTTGCTTTTTAAACAATACTGACCACTTGCAGGAGCATGGACAATCTGTGTTTGACCAACCTAATATGGCAAGTGTCATGGTAAGTGTAAACAATGAAAACAAATGATTAAAAATATATGATTCGTATATTTATTGTTGAATCTAATTACTATGTTCATTTTTGGGTACATGTCATTAAAATATCTGTTGTCATGCCTATGTAATACTGGAAAGTAAATGTGAAGTCATGACTCTGTAATAACATGTATACAGATATTAACCTCTCATACTAGACAAACACAGCAGCTGCATTTGTGGGAGGAAAGAGAAAATGGACAGAAACAATAGACTTAAAAAGAGAATCCGATGAGGACACCACAACCACACAGGTATGTAAAGTGTACATACTTGGAATGTACAAAAAGTGATATTACTTTCTTTCCAGAAAATTTGGATTTATACCTTTAAAAACCAGGTGTATCTTAAAACAACAGAATTTTTATGTAAGGTTTCAGCCCCGCGTTCAATAGGCAAAACGTTACGGAACATTCGGAACGTTTTGTCTGTTGGACGACCCGTTTCCTCGTAACGCTACGATAAACCGCGAACAGTCTGACGAGGTTGCACGCGAAGTGACCAAGATGGCGGACGATGCATCAGTGTCATCAGTCGGTACATTTTACAGGTGCTCCGTGTGTGGCATCTTCTTTGCAACGATGGAAGCTTTTGTTGAGCATGAGTGTGGTGAGTCCTGAAAACTTTGGAAGTACTTATACAATGGCGGTAACTTGATATTACCTATGAACCCAACGAAATCGCGGTTGACACATGCCGCCATTATGGCCAAGTAAACAAATGTCTTGTTATATAGGATTCAGCACTCTACTTTGCAGCACCAATTAGATGTAATCATGCTATGTCTGCATTCTACACGGTCAGTGTTCCCAAATATGTTCATGTTGCAATATGTTTCAGCTTCAACTACTGAGAAAACTGCAACACCGACTGAAATCAGTGCGATTGACGAACTCGGGACTGACACTGACAACGTGGAGAATGAAGTGCACAGTAAGTGATTCAGAAGGAAAATGCAATGGACATAATAGACTACATACATTGCAGTCAGAGTAAATATTGTTTGCAAATAGATTACGTTTATATCAGTTTAAGACGGTTAAAAAGAACAACAAACAAGTTATTTGTAAATACTGCTCGACAGAAGGAGATCAAGTAAAATATAGATCTAGTTCCCTATACATGTCGCACAGTATTAATCTAGTATACTACTTCTTTACAGCTCCTACCCACTGCACATTGGGGTACTCTGCGATCCTCCTCCTAATTGAAACCTACAGAGATCTTCAATATATTTTCAAATCTTCTGCCTAAAAAACGATTGATGCTTGGAAACGAGTGGCCAAAGAGTTACAAAAACAGAATTATGGTTAAAACAGAATCATAGTTATACCGCAGATCAGTGTGACAAAAAAATGAGAAGCTTGAAGTACAGGTAATTTTTGAGATTTCATTTGTCTAACTGAATAGATTGTAAACATTGTTGTCATCTTTGCTAAAAGTGATGCATTATGTTAGTGTTCATTTTACAAGATGATAATTCATATAAATGTATTATCGGTAGGTAAATGACACTTCAATTGAAGAGTCACCGAAATTGTTTTTGTTGTTTTTTAAATCTAACTGGAAAAAATGTTTAGTGTATTCACTTTAGTGTTAAAATGATAACTTTATATTTTGATCAGACTGATAATGCCAGTGTCTGTTATTAAATGTATTCAGTAAGTGTACGTCTTTATTCAGACACAAGGTAATAGTGGACGGAAACAACAAAACTGGAAGGGGAAAACGGACTTGGGAGTTTTTCGATCTTATGGAAGATCTGCAGGCTGGCAACCCATCAGTACGGCCGACCATAACAGTCTCTTCACTTGAAGGTATGTGCAAATGTTTCTCTGAAAGACAAATTAAGAAGAATGTCTATAACCACTATGGGGTAACGGAATTCGCCACAGGTTCATTATAATTTTGCATGCCACAAATATAATGCTAATACAAATGATGGAAACAAACGTTTATCGATTGAAAGAATAAACATGTCTTCATTATATTTACTATTGTTGTTCACATCAGGTGTATAGTGTAGTGTCTTGTTTGTGTATAATTGTGCAGGTGAAAAGACCAAAGAAACAACTTGTAGTGCTCCTTCAGCTACTAGTACTCCTTCAGCTTCAGAATCTCCCTCGACATCCTTAGCATCTACATCGGCTGAAACACCATCTAAGGCTGGTCGGAAGCGACAAGCACCAGAATGGTTTAAGCAGTTTACAGAGGAAAACAAAAAACAGTTGTCCCAGTTGGTCATGCAACAAGCAACAGCAAATGAAGTAGCGAAAGAAAGAAATGAAATTCTAAAGGCTATCTTAAACAAAAAGTAGAGGAGTATGTCTCTATCATGTCTATTTTCCGGTTCCTGATGGACATTTTTTAGCCATACCTACTCAAAGGCTAAGGGTCATCCAGCAGTAGTTATCATTTGCAAGAACGTTATATATTTGCAGCTTCCAGTTTTTGGTTTTATTTTGATCCTTGTGAATACCAATGTTCATGCCGTACCTGAGACTTATCGTTTTTTGCTGTTTGAGTAGTATATTTTCAGCAAACCATAACAGTGACCTTTGTTACAATTAAGCAAGCCATGCTGTGGATATTACTTAACCAGGGGATTTTCCAGTCTGAGGACATGTTGAATACCAAAGTGTTTATTTATTTTGTTCATTTATTTTGTTTAACAGATCATGTAATCGCTGTTGTCAAGTTGGACCAAGTTGATGTAAAGAATGAACAAAAAGTGCCAAACCTTCATTTTATTGTTTTATTTATTTTAATAAATGATTTAAAAAGCAGATTGTTATCAGTTTGTCTTTATTATAACATTGAGGCATGGCAGTGTCACCATGAGTTAAGGGTCTTGAAAACACAGATTAAATCTACAGGAGAAGGGCAATGTCATTCCTCTTTGCAACAGCATCAGGTGGCAACCCCTCGAGTTGTGCCTCTTCATCGATCAACTCATCTGCCTGGTGATCGTCATCACCAATAATGTCATCATAAAACATTTCCCTCATGAGAATAAAATTATGCAACAGACATGCTGCAAATATCCTTGCTCAAGTTTGCGTCTTAATGGGCTGTTCTTGAAAACTCTGCAGTCATGAACCGACCCAGGCCAGCCTACATAAATGTCGGTGAACTGCAGTTTGGCGTCGCAAACGACCTGTAACTGCATGCTCGAGTAACCCTTCCTGTTGATGAATGCATCTCTATTACAGGATGTACCAGAGATTGGAATATGAGTACCGTCAATGGCACCAATAACTTTAGGGAATCCACACCGTTTGGAAAATCCTTCAGCCACAGCCCCTAGTCCATCGAGAGTTGGCAACTTTACATATTCCTTGACTGTTGAAGAAATTGCTCGACAGACACTGAGAGCAATAACATGCAGGGATCCTTTGCTCAAACCAAACCTGTCGGCAATACCACGATAGGATTCCTGATTGGCAAGTAGCTACAAAGTTGACAGTAGCTTTCGTTCTGCAGTCAGTGTTCTCTCGGGTAACAGTGGTGCAATTGGTTCACAAAGGTCCTACAACAAGAAACAGTACTCATACTACTGGCTCAGTAGATTCTTTAACCCTTTCCATGCTGGCTAAATTATTATTCTATGGGATCTGCCAGTAATATTACCCTACCAGTATGGAAATAGTTAAACTTCAACTAATAAGATTTGTTAACCCAATTTAATGCAGTTGGTTTCCTCTTGTCCAAATAGTATTTGGCATGTTCTAAATATACTCCAGTTTGGAATGTGTTTTTTTATGATGATGATGATGATGAATTCTTTTGTCCGAATAAAATTAGTGTCACTAGTACCTGAAACGTCGATCTTTTCATCCTGAAATGTGATCTGAAATCGAAGTCCCTGTATTCTGGAATTACTGTTTCAACGTAGCCCTTCACACTTGCTGTTTGCTCTTGAGTTGTCAAACACATACCCAGCGTTATAGTTGATGTTAAGGATGATATCCTTGCAATGTTCACAGCAGGTAGCAGGCAGGTTCCCTCTGCTAATTCACTGAGAACTACACGTTCTTCTAAAGATAACGCCATTTTGCAAAACGTTTGCACAAAACTCTGCGTTCATCAGGTGAACAGAATGTTCTTACAGAATGTCGCAAAACGTTTTAGGCTATTGAACAAAAGGCAGATTTCTTCTTTAAGTCAACATTCGGCCCGGCTGTGAGTAGTGGTGAGACATCATGTCCTGCTTTTACAACCATAATCAGGGGCGTGTTACCGTCATTATCTTGAGCACTGACGTCAGCTCCAGCAGCAATCAGTTTTTGGATGATTGTTGTGTCAAAGCCATGACGGTTTCGAGAGACAAAATGCAGTGCTGTTTTACCAGATTTATTCTTTAAGTCAACATCTGCCCCGGCTGTGAGTAGTGGTGAGATATCACTTCGTGCTTTTACAGCCATCATCAGGGGCGTGTTACCGTCATTATCTTGAGCACTGACGTCAGCTCCAGCAGCAATCAGTTGCGAAGCGTAGTTTTTTTCCTTTTCATTGTCGTAATGGTAGAAATACGCTGATTTTGTTTTCATGTAAGGGAAATAATAGTCTTCATAGACAAAATGCAGTGCTGTTTTACCAGATTTATTCTTAGAATTGACATCTGCCCCAGTTGTGAGTAGTGGTGAGATATCACGTCTTGCTTTTACAGCCATCATCAGGGGCGAGTTACCGTCATTATCTTGAGCACTGACGTCAGCTCCAGCAGCAATCAGTTTTTGGATGATTGTTGTGTCAAAGCCAGAACGCTTTCCACAGACAAGATGAAGCGCTGTTTTACCATATTTATTCTTTGAATTGACATCTGCCCCAGTTGTGAGTAGTGGTGAGATATCATGTCCTGCTGCTACAGCCATCATCAAGGGCGTCTGACCAACCGAATCTTGAGCGTTCACATTAGCTCCCCTAGCAATTAATTGTGGGATGAGGTTACTTTCTCCCTCTCTCTGCTTTGAAATCCCCTCTATAGCAGTCATCAGAGGTGTTTTACCTTTGTCATCTTTGGCATTGATGTCGGCTCCAGCCTTGAGAAGAGTTTCAACAATGTCTGCAATATCCTGACTAATGTTGAATGGACTTGAAGGTGTTTTACCTTTTTCCTCACCGTTTCTTCTCGCATGTACCGCTTGCTTTGACATTGCATGCTCAGCAACTTTGTGGAGCGCTGTTTCACCAAAATGTACATTTTTAGCATTGACATCCGCCCCACATTGGAGTATTGCTAAAATGTTTTCCTTACATCCCCTCTCTACAGCTATCATCAAAGCTGTATCACCACATGAGTTGCTCGTGTTCACATCAGATCCGGCCTTTATTAATGTTTCTACCATTTTCACATGGTCCCTTTGAACAGCTATGATTAGTGATGCATCGCCATGTACATTTTTAGCATTGACATCAGCTCCAGCTTTGAGCAGCGGTGAGATGTCTTTGTTCATCTCGACGGCCACCATCAAAGGTGTATTACCACTGTTATCTTTAACATTGATATCTCTGCTGCATTCAATAAGCTTCATTACTGCATCAGTTTCGCTGTTAGTATTCATCATGTTTGTATTTCTCGCAAGTATATGGAGGGGGGTGTCCATGACATTGTCCTTGGTAGTTACACTTGCCCCAGCTTTCACTAGAGTGATAGCTCCTTGTGTGAAGTCTCCCTTGACTGCACTGTGGAGTGGAGTATTACCTTCACTATCTAGTATGTCAAACTTTGAAGATTGAGCTTCACCAGCTCCATCATTATCAGGTTTATCTGTATCTACAGATTGGGGCCCAACATGACTTATTCTCGGTGCTTCCTTAAGTCTGTGTGTCTTAGTAACTGCACCAGTTTTCTGGTTTGACCCAAATACATGGTGCAGTGGTGTTTGACCATTTGTATCGACAACATTCGCGTCCGCGCCTTCAGTAAGTAAAACTGCCACAACATCAAAACTTTGCCACGAAGCAGCCACTTGTAATGGTGTGAGGTTTTCTTTGTTGAGAGCGTTGACGTCTGCTCCATGTTTGACCATGAGTTTTGTAAGATATGATATGTCTGTAGGGTTGCAGGATGTAGGATTACTCTCTTTATTTCCAAACTTTTCTGCAAAGAGTTCAACTATCTCCAAGTTCTTCGTAGCGACAGCACAATGTAGTGGTGTGTATCCATCTCTGTTAACCGCCTCAATGCTTGTTCCTGGGTAATTGAAAATTCTATGTCATAAACACACCATGTATAACATGAAGGCAACAATTTTATGGATGTCAACTTCTTTATTGTGAAGGGTCACGATGTTTCGATGTATATTCTTACTCCTTCCTCAGGTGAATGAAACAGTTAGGAACAGACAGCTCTATATGTACATGTTAAAACAACAACAGTTATAAGATAACAAGGGAAACCAGTTGTAGTTAGCTGGTAGATGGGCAAGTGGAAGCCAGGATTGCTAATCCAGGCATGATTAAGGTAACAAAGGTGGCAATTAACAGGGGATAAGAAAAACAAATGAAGGGATGGGTGGGGGGATATAATTAGCAATAACGTGATTGATGGACAAGTGGAAGCCAGGCATTGTTAATCCGGGCATGGTTGATGACTGACTGACTGACTGACTGACTGATTTTAGTTTTACGCCGCTTTTAGCAATATTCCAGCAATATCACGGCGGGGGGCACCAGAAATGGGCTTAACACATTGTGCCCATGTGGGGAATCGAACCCGGGCCTTCGGCGTGACGAACCAACGCTTTAACCACTAGGCTACCCCACCGCCCGCATGGTTGATGAGGTAACAATAGTGGGATATAACAGGGGGTAAGAAAACAAATGGAAGCCAGGCCTAAAAGTAATAATTACAAGGACAATGAGGCCAGCAGTGGTGATTAATTTACATTAATAAGTCCCAAGCGCTAGGCAGATATGTTCCCTGGTCACGATTGATTGCTGGTTGGCTTCTTCTGATGTCCATGGCCTCTTGCAAGCCCAGCGCTTGGGACTAATTCATGTAAATTGTTATCTGATAACTGTTGTTGGTTTAACATGTACATATACAGCTGTCTGTTCCTAACTGTTTCATTTACCCGATGAAGGAGTAACAGTATACTTGAAACGTCGTGACGCTTCACAATAAAGAAGTTGACAACCGTAAACTTCTTGCTTTCATGTGTATCAATTCTAAATGCCCTTCGAAGACTCTATGTATTACATGGTTGAGTCGAGTTAAATGGAATATTCCATTTTATCGTTTTAACAGTCTTTATATTAGATTTGTGTTCGGTGTATTTCACTCAAAAATCTCCACAGCGTTCGCTTTATTCGACACTTGATTGCGTACATCCTTTGCTCCAGTTCGGAGGTGACATGAAATTGGGTTTAGCGTCTTGCTTGAGAATATTTCGCTCATATGACGACGCGCATGCGTGTGTATGTGCGGCTGCTTTTACTAGCCCAGACTGAAGCTGGTTTTTATAGTGCTAGCCCACTGAGATACCATGCCGCAGTGAAGCATGAACACCCCTCCCAGACACATTATGCTGACTCCGAGCCGACCAGTCCTTGTTGTACCCATCAATGCCGAGCGCCAGGCAAGGACCACAAGTACCATATTTTTACGTCTTTCGGAATGACGCGGCCGGGGATCGAAACCGCGACCCTCTGCTCTCCGGGCGGACGCTCTAACCACTACACCACGGAGGCGGTCGCTTCAGTTCTGAACCTCTGAGTATTATTAGAGAGTATCTTCTTGGATAATATGGAATATGGATGTTACTAATGAGGACAAAACTCGTTTCATATTTATAATATATGTCTTCTAGAAACAGAAGAGGCTGTACTATCAGCATCTGCACTTACAATAACATTGAATATCACTGATATCACTATTTGACCGTTTTGAATATTACTGGTTCCACTAATACGTAGTGATCATAATGTGTGTGAAAACTGCATTTAAATCATTTATATCATAATACCAATTATAAAATAGTTTTATGAATTTGTATTACTGTGTTTCACTTCATGCATGTAAGCTGAATCTCTTGACTATCTTATGAACTGGAAGTTGATATTAGTGCAAATTTCTGACTGTATATTTACCGAATATATCCACGTCCAGAGGGGTGAGTGGAAGAGATGCACTGATGCAGACTTCCATCCGGGTACCTTTTGGCAGTTTAGCAAAGATGTCTTCAGACAGGATCTTAGTGATGACTTCCCTTAGCCAAACTGGTCCAAGTTTTGTTCCAGGCTCCACCGTGACGTTGATGATGACAGATCCTAAATCTGTGGACTCAACCCTGGCGTTCAGTGGTTTCAGGAGGACGTTGATGTGAGGAATATTTCTGTCGATGTGATTCTTGATTTGAACGCATAATCCATCGGTTGCCTCTATGGTCAACTTGATGCCCTGAACCGAAGGACCTGAAACAAAAATGCTTTGTTAAAGAAAATAACCTACATTCCGAAACAGGGTTATTGCATGGAGATCAGGTCTATTTTCAGCTGCAGTAGCAGAACCCACAAAGAAACATGCGTTTGACAATTTTTTTGCAACAACACAATTTTTGTGGCAGACTATAACTTCAGCAATCTGAAGCTTAGTCTTTATTCTTGTAATTTTCTGATGAGTTAAAATATTTTCTCGACAAAATCCCAGATCCGTAAGAAACATTAGAATGCTCTTCTGAAGACGTATTACATACACAAAACCACATACTGATGCATGAGGTAGCAGTGGACAGAATACATTAGTTTCCATAAATGCCCACCTACCACTGGATACGGAAAATGTGTTGTTTCTCCCCACTTGCTGTGTGTCGATGTTGTCAGCACCTGCCTTGACTTCGATATGGTTGTTGTTGCCAACCTGTGCCGCTGATAGAGGACGATCTAGTAATAACATTACAAGTTATTAAACTTTTATTCCTAGTTGTTATGTTTAGTTGTAGAAAATAACCTACATCAGAAACAGATTGATAATGCACAATGGACTGAATGCATTGGTTAAATGCCCACCTACCACTGGATACGGAGAATGCGTTACTTCTCCCCACTTGCTGTGTGTCGATGTTGTCAGGACCTGTCTTGACTTCAATATGGTTGTTGTTGCCAACCTGTGCCGCTGATAGAGGACGATCTGGTGATGAAAATGTATTTTTTATGATGAAATTGATATGTTTTACTTATCCTGACTCATGCTTATTGCATTATCTCCCTTCTCCTTTCAACGGTTCCGTGCAAACTTGAATCCCTTGTTCCCAAGAACAGTCAACATTTCACTCACCCGTGTAGAGCCCCGCTTTCCCGCCAAAATGGTCCCAGGCGACCTGAGCCTTGCTCATCACACTCTCTCCTGAATAAGCCCGCACTATGACCTACAGTGAAGCCCTCAGTGCTGAGAGGGGACGGTTGGGAGGGCCCTTCACGCCCGTTCTCACTAATGAGGTGCAAATGGGTAAGCGTCGTAAGTCAAAAATCAACTGCACAAAATCTATGCAAAAACATTTATTTAGACAGTTTGGCATATGCTCTATTACACATCACTTTTTCAGCCACACCATTTTACAAATAACCATACAGCTGTTATCTAAATGTGGAACCTTGAATTATAAAATATTATCACCTCATACGTACGTGACTAGTTTTTCTGACAAGAGAATTAAGTGACAATGTGATAAATTATTTGAGTAACCTCTCAAGTATTCCGCATGAGTTGGCGATTTAGTAACACACGTCGGCTCAAAGACTTTAGAAGCACTTTGACATACACATTGTAAATCATTATTACTCAGGTTGTTTTTTAAAAAATACCAACAAATTGCAAAAACATTCTAAAATCAAACCTGATAACTAGATTAGCCGACAATCTGAGGGCGTAGTAGACCCAAAAATGAGTAGCAAAATATTTGATCGATAGCCAGTTGCAACAACATAAAACTCATGAAAATTACCAGTCACTTTTTGCAGTACAAACAGTAACGTATGTAGCCCAACTTTCAATTGTTTCAAATAAGATTTTTGTTATGAAGAATAATACTTTTTCTTACCTAAAACATCGATTAAAACACATTAGCATCGTTTTCTTCAGGATTACAAGATTCTACCGTTTCTTCCTTTACAGTTTTTAGTAGTACATAAAGACAATATCAGGGTGATCAATATTAATCATCATAAATTTGGCAAAAAAGAACATAACAAGACTGTATCCTCGATCGTTCTTTCTCAAGGAAGGCGGGTCCTTTTGCTTTCCGAATTTACCGATGTTCTGTCTGAATTTCTGCTCTACGTTTTCCCGCTTGAAATAAGAAACAAATGAGTAACGTATGTATAATACATTTCGATACATACCTTTACCCTATAATTATGCTCTTTCGCATAACAAAGACCCAGGACTAATCCAAATGTTATTACAGATATATAAACTCTGTCTGATAAGCTACTAAAGTACCTTTCGTTTGTACATCAATCCTTCCATCCCATTAAACAATCAAATATTCATATCAATTTTCATATCATTCAGAGAGGTGACCATCTCTTTCCCAACACATAGCTCATTATGTGAAAATAAAAGGACATTAAATAACACTGATTGCCAGTTTAAGTCTGAATGTTTTCAAAAACCCAAAGTTTCTGGCTTCGAATGATATGACATTTACGTTTGAAACCTTTAACAAATGTTGTTACCTACGTTACCGTTGATAACGTATGTATCAGTTACTGGACCACCAAATGATGCCTTTAGCATTGTTTTCCTGTTTGTTATGATGGTAGCTAAAACACACAATGACAATTTGAAAGAATTACACTTTGTAACACGTTTAACATGACGTCTTTAATTATGCATGGTATCACCTGAATTTTAAACAACATTACCTCATAAAACTGACGTGGTTTCTCTCTCAAAATGTTTCAGATGTTCGATGACTGTCGCCACATGAAGTAGGTATAGCCAAAACCTAATCATATTGTTTCGAACACTTAATTCCGTACTTTCTAGTAACGTATGTAACGGTTACGTATGTATATTTTCAATGGTTTTCATTTTCATTTTTGCAAATCTATACACACTACTGATCGTGATATGAGCTGTTTTACGATGCTAGAAATGTTTGTTGTTGGTAAAATGTTTTGCTTGAAGTGTTATAGAAATTGAAGTAATTATTGGCATGATAACGTATGTATTGCTTGATTTCTATGCATCTTGTTTGTGGTGTTGAAAAGTATTTTTTTCAATACTGAACTATACTTATAGTTAAAGCCTGTCGTAATTGAATTGGTAAATGTTTTGAGTATAAATAATTGATACTGTACTTCACTTAAGCCAGAAAGGTACTCTGCTACACTGTCATCCAGAAAAACACAACGTATGTATCCAAAGTTTGGCGACAATATTTCAACACTCTATAACTATTCCGATTTGGATGGTTTGCCTTCTTATTCTCATTTGAATGCAGCGTAATAAGTACATTGTTCTTTACATATTCAATCTGAAACCCAAACTGCAAAATCAAAATGACTGTATTAACTTCAGTGAATCGTCTCCGACATGGCGACAGTAACGTACGTATCGTTTTGCCAACTTTGACTTTTCCTGCATTGCCAATATAAGGACAGATGACCCGAAACAGTGTTTATTGTCTAGGGCGAGTATAAGACTTTGTGAATAATGCAAATACTGCGCACAATATTTGTTGGATTATGAACAAATGGCTGGCGACATCAATTGCACCTCATTAGTGAGAATGGGTGTTCAGATCATGGGTCAGGATAAGTATAAAATATCAATTTAATCATAAAAAGTACATATTTTCCCTTGTCCTGACTCATGCTTATTGCTTAATGAATCCGACGGAATAGGTGGTAGGTCAGCCACCAAACAGGATTCACCGTGACTGCTTGATCAATAGCGTCTGATCATATACACCTTGGGAACTCTTCTTTGCGGCTTCCAAAAGATCCTGACGCCAATTGGGGGACCACGTGTCCCAGCTTGGCTCCGCTAAACACTCTAATTTTGAAAGGTAGAAACTGTTTCAAGTATGGCAGAAGCTCAAAAAACCCGATAGGAATACTGTCGACATGAGCGATACAGAAAAGGAGACAGAAGAGACAGGGAAGCAGAAAAGTAAGAGAAAAAGAGAAGGATCTACACCAAGCGAGTTGGAGAGTGACGGCACACCGCACAAAGAATCATGGCCATGAGGTGTGGAGCTGGATGCAGTAAGTGAAGACGTGTTGAAAGTGAATGAAATTCTCTCGCAACTTAATAACTCTGTGCAGAAAATAAACAGCAACATTGAAGGGATTAAAAAACGTCTCGATAAACATGATGAACTTTTGAAAAGTATGCAGTGTAACATTGCACATACGTCCAATAATGTTGCAGCTATTGAAAATGAACTGAATACAATCCCAAATATCAACACAGATTTGAAGGCAACCCAAGAAAATGTGTAAAAGAACTATTTTGAATTAGTGGAAAGAATTAAACAACTGGAATTAAGAGCTGTCGACCAGGAAGCTAGGGGTAGAAGAAGGACCTTGATTTTCTATGGGTTGAAGTATGATTCAGTAGTTAGTTAAAAGGGGGTTGTTAGAAACTAATTGTAACCTTCTTGACACAGGAGATGGGTATCTCTCCAGACACTGCTTCGAGACTGAGAATAGGGCGTGCACACAGGTTGAGGAAGCGTACTCTTGGTAAACCACGACCTATTATTGTTTATTTTGAGGATTTCAAGGACAAAGAATTTGTGAAAAACCAAGCAAATACATTGAAAGGGAAACCCTATGGTATCAGTGAAGTCAGAGATGCGAGAGAGAAGTTAGAAGATGATTTGAAGAAGTCCAGGAAAAATGGCAAGAAGACAACTATTCTATACCCAGCCGCCTGCTGGTGGACGGTGAGGTGGTGCGGGAGGTCACGGTGACCGGGGAGAGGGATCGGACCTAGGACCGGCCACCTAGGGGTCTGTCAGTGCTCACGTGGAATGTCAATGGCAGCTTGACTAGGAAACTGGGAAATAGAGACTTTCTACAACACCTGCAGGATAAGGACGTTATTTTGTTGGGTGAAACATGGACGAATAATCCGGATATGAGGCATACTGTAAGCATCGCCCAGGCAGAAAAGGGGCAAAGAGGGACTCAGGAGGTCAAGTAGCCTAGTTTGCTTCATGGATGTGCCAGGGTGTAGATGTTCGTAGAGCAATGCAGAAGGTAAAATTAGAAAAAAGTCATGGTTATGATGGCATTGTGAATGATTTTTTTATCTAGGGTGCTGATGTTCTGGTTCCTACATTAACTGCATTATTTAATGTCATACTGATCAATGCTTATTGTCCCCATGAGTGGACTTAGGTAGTTATTGTACCCATCCAGAAGAAGGGCAGCAAGTATTTGCCAGATAATTATAGAGGTGTTACATTGTTATCTTGCTTCAGTAAGTTATTTACAAGTGTCTTGAGTGTTAAGAGTTTCAAGTTGGTGTGATAAGTACCGTATACTCGTAGAGGAACAAGCTGGATTTAGAGAGGGTTATACCACTGTTGAATGTCTCTTTGTTCTAAATGGACTTATAAATATAACTCTTGAAAAGGGTTTAAAACTATATTTTGCTTTTGTTGATTACCGTAAAGCGTTCGATTATGTGAATAGGAATGCATTGTGGTATAAGTTATATCATTCGGGGATAAGTTCTAAATTTTTGACACTACTTTGGAAAATGTACAGTGATGTTAAATCTTGTGTTAGACAATCAGATGATGCTTATTCAGAATTCTTTGCTTCATTTTTTTTTGAGTTCGTTAAGGCGAAAATTTATCGCGGATTCTAATTTCACTTTTCGTTAATGATGCTGTAGATGTTTTGTCACCAGCCCAGGATCTTGGTGTTTGGCCTTTTTTACGTTCGCTTGTTGTTACTCCTTTTTGCAGACGACATGGTTATATTTAGCAACAATATTAAAGGTTTGCAGGATGGACTGGATAAGTTATCTGAATACTCTTATCAGTGGGGATTGGTTGATACTACTGAAAAAACTAAAGTAGTGATATTTGGTAAAGGTGGTAGAATTGCTAAGAATGAAAAATGTTTTTTTAATGGCGAGGAGATAGAAGTAGTGGAGACCTTTAAATA